TCATCTCAGTTGCATGGACATTCGATGACTGGCACGGTTGGCTCGTGGGTGCTTTTCTTACAGCGGCAATTGCACTGTAATGGCTGACACGGGAGAATGACCAAGGGGGGCACCGAGGACGACACGCAAAAGAGAAGAGGGGCTACGTAATATGTTAACTATTCGTTTAACGCCCGATTTTGGTAACAGGCCAATTAGGTGTCTCGTCAATGCACCTTCGCCGGGTGGGCTAGCCTCCGGGACATGCCAGCAGCCCCAAGCCCTACTACCCAAGTATTATGCCCTCTCGCGTCTTCAGAGACCCCGACACGCTACAGAAACCACATTTACTCCACTTTCCCTGCTTGGACGACAAGACGATATAGTGATCCGGATAGGAATGCAAGACATTAAGATAAATGCAACTAGAGTAACTCAGGAGTGGCAATATTTCCTAAACAATTGATGGAATTAGCTGCTCGTAGAGTGTCCATATGCCCTTAGGCATAAAACACAACAAAAAAAGATGTCAAGAACCCGAAACCAAGTATTCTCAAGTAACTTACCTCAAACCTTTGGTAAATCTCATTTCACCAAAATAAAACCATCACTTATGCTTAATTTAGTGCACTATTTCCATGCTTGACTGAAATGAACTTTGAGTTGACCTTAAGATGGTTGCCACTGGCAACTAACATTAGATACTTAAATAGACTTCTTGTTCAAATCTAAGAATTAGACAGAATGACCCTTCGTTCCAAGGATGACTGTTTGAATGCATACTTTAATTTCCGAAAACCTAGATACTTTAACACCTTTTTCGTAGAAAGATACAATTTTACATGAAAATTTCCGACTTCCACAATGAAGAGCACAATAATTAAGAAACCCTGGAAAATATGGCATTCGCTTCAAAAGAGTACAATTATGTGATTTCATGCCCTCATATTAAGGTTAACTTAATCAGCTTATTCTCCAAAAAAAATACGAATAATGCGAAGTGTCAATGCCTTTTGATCTGCCTAAATCTAAGCACCATAGCTTCAAAAGGATATTCGTGTCAGTTCAGCCAAACGTGATATGGAATTTGCGTGGGTAATTTTCCGTAAAGTTATAACTGCTAAACATTTGATGATCGTTTACACTACTTCCTACGACAAAGCTCCAAATGAAGTTGTCGCTGACACAAATATCCACGAGTCAACTGAAGAATGATGGGTAACTTCTTACTAGAAATCTCGGCCAGCTTACCAAGTGGTGGTACTGAAGAATTTTGAATGTGGTCGGCAGAACTATTCATCTCGCTCCGCTGATCTTGAGTATTTTGGCTTGTGGAGTTCTGCGTACAGTGCTCTGGGAGATCTGGAGAGGTTTCTTCGAACAGAGTAAGCACCTCCTTATTGTGAGGGAGAGGAAAAAGCGGGAGTTAGTCAGAAATCTACTGCTGACAGTAACGATTGTAATCTGGAATGCGGTCAGACAAGTTAGATACTACGCGACAATATTAGTTACATTGGTCGGTCTGTGAGAACAACCCATTTTAACGGCATGATCCGGTATGTATCGCGAACGCCTTTGATAAATAAAAAGACTGGGGTACAATAGCTCAGCACCCCATTTTAGTAAAAACAAGACTACTGCATAATTATGCACTTGTACAGTTGGTGGAAATAATTCACTTTCCATATGTATGGGTATACCGTAGCAGGATGATGTTCGACTTCTACACAGACAGTATGGAAACGTTCCTGTCACATAAGCTACTAGTCTCATGGATATTCCAACACTTTGATCATCAAGTGACTTCCGAACTCGTATGTCTTGACTGGTCTCTGTTTGCAATCTTGAATCCCAACACAGTCTTCTTTCTGAGTCATGCGAAGGCAAAAAGTGCTGGTCCGTAGTGGCGAAGAGGCTTTGAAAGAGCCTTCAATGTGTATTTAAAAAAAAAACAATCAGCTTAGACAGAAATAAATCGGGATGAGAAACACTTGTTTTGAATGTGAAGAGATATAAATCAATGCACAAGTACAGCCTATCCCAGTTTCATTAGAGAACAGGGGATTGGTTTTTGCATCGCAGGGTAGCATCTAGAGACACTGAGAAAGGCTCATGGAATTTCATGGATATCTGTGGATGAAATTCTGCCGATTCTAAGCACTAAGTACTAGTTCAAAACGCAACCATCAGCATGTGAAATACGCCGAGTATCTCTAACATTGCCCTGAAAAGCGAATCGGCGGTCAAAGACGCGAGACTTCAATTCACTGATAATTTTAGATTTTCTCACATTTTTATATTATAATCAAAAACCACAGCAACACATGGCGAAAGAAATTGTGAGCTCAAAACCGGAGGCGCGAAATGATTCTGCTCTTAAGCAACCTTGGAATGATAGTTGAACCGTAAGGTTATATTTTCATCAAGAGACCAATCAGGGACTAAGGGTAGAGCAAAAAAAATTTGCAAGATTTGTGCAGAAACCCAGTAAAGAATGAGATCATTTTCTTCCCTTTGAAGTGCCTTTGGGGTGCTGGAAGAGTTCAGTTACTCTGGATTACTTCACAACGCTAATTTCTTAGACACCTATCACTCCAAAGGGAAGACTGGAGCACTGTAAATGGTTGTGAGATGTATGATAGGCGAGCAACTAGACCTAAAAGCAGAGTACGTACTTCTTTGCAGATGACCCGGTCGTGAGCAATATATACTTCAAATTCCTTCAAAGCGACCTCTTCAGCACACGCCATGGCAGCAAGAAGGGCCTGACAAACAGCAGCTGGACCGAAACGAGTGCCCGGAGGTGAACCACTAGCTTGCACTAGTCGGTGGATGGAGAGAGGACTGCTTGGCGCGTCCGCAAACCACCGAATGATACGTCGATGAAGACGCGATTTCGGCTCCTGTGCCGACACACTACATGGATGAGAAATACGTCTATCCTAAACTGGTTGGCTTGGTGATGTCTAAGGATTGATCTATTTTATACAGCATATCCCTTTTTGGCACTATTTTTGTTTGAGATCATAGAAGAGTTGAGTGGGTCAACCGTGAAAGGTATGACTAATGAATAATCTATTTCACACCTAAATGTTTCATCGTTTAGACTTCTG